AGCACTCTGGTTAGAACAGTTCCCTCAATTGCTCTGTGTACACTTTCCCTATTTCACTGTCTCATAAATGCTACTGCCTGCTGCCTACTTATTTACTCATCATTTCTCTTTCGTCACTAGAGTGTAAACTTCATCAAGTCAGCAACTTTGCTTTTCTTATTCTTTACTATGATCTCAGAGTTAGTTATTTCCAACATCAGGTTGATGCTCAGGAATGCGTGAAGGCTAAAGCTAGAAACTGTGGACAAATCACTTAAAAGATGAGGGAATCCTGGATTGCAGTTAGGTCATTTCTGAACACAACATGAAGTTGCAAGCCCCTCTCTTCTTACTCATGTTGTTCTGTCTGCCTGTTATGCTCCCATTTCTTGAAAATATACCTGGCTTTCAACACACAAGGCCAACAATACTCCAGAGTTCCCTAACACAGAAGAACCAACCATTTACTTCAGTATGTAATCATGCTTATTACAATCGAATTTTAATGTATCTATGTATGACATAGTGTTTGCTACAGTAGTTAAGATACCACTTGGGTGGCCTGGTGCTCTGGCATGGCCAGTGAAGCCTGTATTTGCAAGGCTGGTTTCTTGTATGGGCGCTGGTTCATGTGCCATATGCTCCACTTCTAATGGGCTAGGTTGAAACACATAAGATAGCCCAAGACTTTGGGCCACTGCCAACCAATCTGGGAGACATGGGTGAACCTCCTGGCTCTAGTCTGCCCAAGTCTCAACAATTGCAGCCATCTGGGGAGTAAACCACCAAATGAAAGATTCTCTAACACTGACTTTTAAATAAAAATAAACCTTTTTAACAATAACAACAAAAGACATCAGGAGTTGCAAGCTTTCCATATATGGATGCTTGGGTTCAAGACCCAGCTTTGCTTCAAACTCCAGCTCCCTTAGATTCACACCCTTAGATGGTAAGGACTTCAGTCTCTACCACCCATACAAACTCTGACGAAGTCCCTGGCTCCTGACTTCAGACTGGCCCAACACTGGCTATTGTGAGCATTCAGGAAAAGAATCAGCAGGTGGAAGATACCTCTGCCTTTCTTTCATCAAATTAATTTTTTAAAAGGACCAAAAAAAAAAAAACATGCCACAAAATGTAAGATTAAGAACATCATTCCAATTGGAAAATTCCCCAATCTTACTCACAGTCTTCTGGTGGGGCATATAGAAAACAAAATCAGTGTTTCATCTGCATCTTCATCTACATTCATTAAAATGGCAGTGCATAATTGAGCACATGGCCCAGCAGTTACAAGGCTTGTGCTCCGCACTGGAGTGCCCAGGTCCAATTCCTGGATCTGGCTCCTGATTCCAGCTTTCTGCCAATGAAGGTCCTGGAAAGCAGAACTGATTCCTCAATAACTGGGCTCCTGCCACCCACTTAGGAAACTTGCACTGCATTCCTGTCTCCAAGCTTCCATCCCCACAATGGCCATTGTGGTCATCTGAATGAGACAATCAACTGACAAGAGTTCATTGGCTCTCTCTTTCGTTCGTTCATTCATTCTCTCTCTCTCTCTCTCTCTCTCTCTCTCTCTCTCTCTCTCGTATAGCTCTCTCCATCTCTGACGTAAATGAATGAAGCAATGTCTTGGTTTCTAAATATTTAAACAGGTATAAGATTTTTCAACTGGTGGACTTTGAGGACCAGGAGGGACTGCAAGTCATCTCATTCATCTCCTTGAATATCTCCAATGGAGATTACCCATTCATCTGTCTCCAAACATCCTTATAATTCCCCAAATCTATTTCATTGCCAATATACAATGACATCTGCTTTTCAAAAAGTCTGATTTTCAAATGAACCTGAGTGTGTGGGGGGAGCGGGTAGGATAGGGGGGCTGCAAGTCAGACCCAGACATCCCAGTACAGTGTTCTGCACTATGTCCCATCATCACAAGACAGATTAACTAGAAGTTAATTCATCCTATGCCATGTTCTCAAAGGAAAAAAGTTATTTCTTTTCTTTTAAATAATCTTGCTAGAAAACCCAATCTCTAAGCTATTCTTGGCTCCAAAAATCGTTAAAGAATTTATAAGCTGTGCTCTCTCCTTATCCCTGGAGCTACTGCCAGAGGAAGCAAAATCCAGACATTTGCAACTCACTGATCAGTGCCAAGCCAATCTGATCAAGGAGGAGGTACAGTCAGTCACCTCTGACACAGGACATCTGTCAGGTGGTGCAACTGCCCTTGCTAATGCCTCTTCAGGGCTCTAGTCTGGCCTCCTTCCACTGCTGTGGTACTCTGGGCTTTAGTGACAGACACTTCCAGGCTCAGGTACCATTCCAGATGCAGCTGCTTCTCCTGTCTGCCAGAGCCTTTCTGGAAAGCTCAGGAGGACTGACTGTCTTGGGAGGCTCTGATATTTCCTGCTGGTGAGTCCAAGCAATGATGGCAGTGGCGTGCAATGTCCACCTGAAGCCCTGGGGACAGTATATAACCCTGTCAAAGCAGTTCAAAGAAATGTTCTAGTATAATCATCTAATGCTAGTGATGGCATTGATGATCTCATAAATCATGAGAAAGAAAAAAAACTTCTCAGCATGAGCTTCTCAGAATGTTTCCAACAGCAGAACCTTAGCCAAGCCTGTGCAAAGCCAAAGAATTCTCTTTAGCCACCTGGTTTGATGGTAAATCTGAATGGATCTGAGTGCCAGGGAGAGTTCAGTAGCACAGTCACCACAGTGGTGGGGGCCAGGAGATTCAGTCTTAGGTTCATCCTGTACCCAACCATCCCCATCCTCAGGGAAGAATTTTTTGGTTTGGAAGTAGGAAGAAGGCAGAAATAGTGTTCTTATATTTTTAAGCTTGCTTATTCACTTAAAACTTATCTAGAAGTTCCTGTGAAAAGTCAGATTTTTCCCAGAAACTTGGAAATCAGAATAAGAGAGGGCTCTCTTTTCACTGCCCTCCCTCAAGAGAGATGTGCACACTCCCCACACAAAAAACTCCACCACACACACACACACACACACACACACACACACACATACACACACACGCATTAAACTGACCTGGGTCAATCTCTCAGTTTCCAGTAGTCTAATCATGCTGTTGCCTGATTTCAATTCCTCATGGAAAGGCCAAGATCTACACTGATTAGCTATAAGAATGAGAATCCAGTCAAGGTTGTTAAATCAAGTTACCATTTTTAGCAAGGTGCCAGAGTGGTTGAGATGGTCCCTTGTTTATTTCACCGACACACAGTCATGTGTTTGCCTACAGCTGATCAGCTTTCAAAAATAAACACATGATTATCTTTAAAGGACAAATACCACATTTTTACACAAGGAAGCTGAGGCACACTTTGGATGTGACCACATAAATTCTCCAAACCATTCATACCATCAAGCCCTTAACTCTGTTCATCTACTGTTATGGTTGTTTTCTATCTGCTTCCCATGCATATTTCTATCTGCTTCTGCTTTAGTTTGCCAAAGATATTGTACAGGTGTCCTGAAGAAAGAATTTAAGCCTTCTGCTTCTATTTCTAGTGGCAAATTATTACAGTGAAGTAGTTCAATGACATCCCACAGAAGGCATAATGGAACTCAGCCAAGAAAAATATTCCCCTATGGGGGCACATGGTCTGGGGTGTATTAAATAATGTCTTCCCTGCTGGAGGTGCCAGTTAAGAAACAGACCCAGCCACAAGAACTCAATGAGAAATAAGGGCAAGGACTAATGATGCAGCAACTTACAGTGAGCTTACGGAGATTCTTTCATGTCCATGCTTATCTCCAAGAGTGTCTTCATCCTTTCTAGCAAAGACTACCCTGTGCTATGGAAATCTATTTCCTTTTTCTCCTAGGTACACAGATAAACTATTTTCTAGCTTCCATCGCAGATATATGACCACATGACAGAATCTTTAACAATGGAATTTTAGCAGAATTAATGTACCATTTATGAGCCTAGTTAATAAAAATTTCCCATATACTATATCCCCAGTCATCAAATATAGAATATTGCTCGATATAGAAACCAGAACCTGAAAGATGGAGGATCTGGGGTTTCTGAATCGCCATTGGAGTGTTACCTACCAACTACTAAGAGTCCCATTTGGAGAAATAACTTTCTATTGCTTTATCCTTCAAGTGTGTGAGAGACGTCAATGAGCAGCTAACATCCAGCAAAGTAGATTTCTCAGGCCAGTGACTTCGAATATGCACTCTGGGTAAAAATTTAGGATTTACCGCTGATATCACTTTCTATCTTCCCATGTTTGATTTGGTTTTTAACCAGTTAGTTTCAGTAAATATTATACAACAATGCTTTCCTTTTCCTAGATATTTCTACAATGTTCTTGAAGTATGGTAATAAAGAACATCAAAATAGTTGTACAAGCTACACATTAAAACTTTTAGTATAGAGGGAGTGGTACAAATGGCAATAAAGAGAAATGGATTCCAGGCATAAAAAGTGACAGAGGGGAATCACAAGATGAAGTCAAAGCTTCTTTTGACTGTCAGAACAAGGGGCACTGATAAACTCATCTTTCGGCAGCTGAAACCAACTGTGGACCAGAAGCCATGACTCAATTCAACATTAATAAAAATGAATTTTGGCCTTTCCTTCTATTTTAAACAAAGGAATAAATGGCCAAAGTATCTTCTACTTTGAGAACAAGTATAATTTCACATATTCTTATGCAAAAAAAAAATCCTCCAGCTTATGGAAAAAAAATAGTGGAAATGGAACAAATGCTCAGCTCAGCAAGACACTGCTTGTTAGTATTCAGCTTTCTTAGGACAGTGGGTACATACCCCCAGTGGGGAGTGGGAGGTGGATGAAAACAAAAAATAGACCAGGTAAGACACCATAATTATAATAACCACTAATACTTGCCAGTAAATTGTACTACTGATCCAGTTTACTGTAAACTTCGTGTCTGCAACACCATCATAAATGATAACAGATTAACAGAATAGCTATAAACATAAAGTCCTTCTCAAAAACATTCTTTACTTGTTTGCAGTCACAAGGGATCCTAGCGTCTTGGACACAGTCCTCACTGGGAGTTAACCCAGTTGGCGTCTTTGAAACATCAAGAGTCAACAAAACGATTTGCCTTGAAGTCTGAGCCAGAGCTGGAGCTAAAGATCATCAGGCCTGTGTGCGTAGGCTGTTGGTAGAAGAAAACAAAATTCTGAGGGTTCCCATTGTGAAATTTGGGTGATGTAACTCAAAATAATAAAGAGAAAAATGCTTTCTGTTTCATTTGTCTGAAGAAGTGCCCCATCAGTTCGTTGATATTCCCTTCTCTGCACTTGCTAACTTACTACATGATAAATTGCCAGGAAGGGCCATCCATCAGATAACTTCTCTCTGCATTCACATCTTCTCTTAGTTATGCAGGAACTATTTTCTATGATTCCAATCAAAGACCAACCCTGGAAAAATATGGACAACATAATTTCTCCATCCTTCTGCTCTTTTTAGTCATTGCTTTAGTTCCATGATAAATGAATTGGAACATCAATATACCCAATGTACTGGAAGTTGTTCCTAAATTATTAGAGGCACACAGAATTTTCCCCTTTTGAAAGTTTACGAAACAACTTCTGCTCCAAGACACATGACTCACCAATAAAACTCTGAAAATTACATTTCACAAAGCTGATAAAATCAGATGATGACCTAATAAACATGTGTGTTTTATATTCATAGAAAGAAAGACAAGTTTAATAGGAAGTTATCTTGGGGAGGAAGAGTTATAAATAGCTTGATTTCCTTTGTTTTGTTAACCTGAATTTTAATTTTAAGCTATTAAGAATAGTCAGATAATAACATATTTGTTGCAAAGAAGAAATGTTTGTTTTTCCCTCTTTGTTTTTTCTTTGCTATCCAAGAGGAAGCTTTCCTCTTGTGGGTAGACAAATACTTTCTAGTAGTATGGGAAGACAGATGGCCAAATAGGGAAAGGAATCGAGGAACCTAATAAACACAGCCCAAGATCAAGCTATCTCTGGTAAACTTACACCTAGGATCAGATATTTTAATATGGATGTGAAAATATAGTTTGGGTAGAATCAAGATGGCGGAATAGTGTAAGGACATGTTTAATCAGACAGAGAAACATTTAATCAGGATGAAGCAGAGAGGACATATTTCAGGAAATAAGAAATAACAGAACAACAGCAGAGGGATCCACGGAGACTGACAGACACAGGAAAGCAGCAGGCACAGCAGTGTGGTGTTGTAGTGAATGATACTCCAGCACGGCGATCTGAACTCCAACAGCAGACAGAACTTCACCAGCAACCAGGTGGGAAGGGACTTTCACTGGGAGCTTGGGAGGTGAACCCAGACAAAGTACTGTCCGTCCTGCTGGTCCCTTTGATTTGACCAGGAGCAGAGACAGAGCAGCAAATCTCAGCTAGTACGAGAACAGAGTGAATTTCATAGCCCAGGCAGCCCCCTAGAGCTGAATTGGGCGCCATTTTGTGTAAGGAGAAAAGGGCAAGGGAAAGGACTGAGCATGCTCTGAGCACAAAGTGAGCTCATTTCTGACTTGGTGAACTGCAATGACGTGGCATTGTACGGGTTCCATCCCGGGCATGTCTGGGTAGCCCTCGGATCTGACGGCCAGCAGATCAAGAACTATTGTGGTAGCACTTCGGGCGCCATTTTGCACACTGTGGCAATAGCTTTGGGACTGCAGGGGACAACAGAGAAATGCGCATGTGCTGAGCTCGGGAGAGCTTGCTGAGGTCCCGCAGGAAAATAATACCGACTGTGACTTTGTACCGGTCAAAATAGGTCCGTGTGGCACCCAGACCTGATGTCCAACAGGTTCCGACAAGATCAACGCCACCAACAACCTAACTAGATAGGACACCTGGTTTCTCTCTGATCCTGGAACCCACTCCAACCAGAAGAGGGAGAAAGGTTGCAGAGAGAACGGTGCAGCCTCAGCACGGTATCACAGGAGGTAGAAAGTAGTGAGCCAAGAGCTATGGCTGTGGAGACCACAGTGGATATCTAACATAAGAACCCAGACCTGGAACTTGCTGGAGGTTGTGGCGCAAGTGGCTGCAAGCAAAACGGTGTGTACCAACTGCAATAAGTAAAATCGCATTGTAGACCTGTGGGTGACACAGCTTAGAAACCTGCACCAAGAAGAACACTCTGCTAACCAGAAGTACAATGAGCAAGAGTAAAAGAAGAGACAAAGGCACAATGAATATTACTGAGCACTCCCCTGCAAAGGAGCAAAACCCTATGCCAACCTCAGAGTTAACTGAGGAAGACATCGAGAAAATGGGGGACACAGAGTCTATAAGACTCATTTTGAAGATTCTGGTCAAAAATGAGAAGCTCATGCAAGAGTTCAAAGAATTTAAGGAAGCAGTAAAGCAAATCAAGACTGGTATATCAGAAATTAAGAACACAGTAGAGCAAATTACAAGTGCAGTGGAGAGTCTCCAAAATAGAATGAAGCAAGTAGAAGAAAAAAATCTCAGAATTGGCAGATATCTCCTGTCACCAGGGGGAAGCAAACAAAAAGCTGAAAGCAGAGCTGGATCAGGCCAAAAAAAGTATTCAAGAATTGAAAGACACTATTAAGAGGCCAAATATAAGAGTTAGGGGAGTCCCGGAAGGTGCAGAAAGAGAAGCTGAGTTTGCAAATGTATTTAATGAAATAATAAAGGAAAATTTCCCTCATCTGGAGAAAGAATTGGGAAACAAGATCCAGGAGGGACACAGAACTCCCAACAGGCTTGATCAAAAGCAATCTTCACCAAGACATATGATTATCAAACTCTTCAATTGAACGTAAGGAAAAGATCCTTAAATGTGCACGTGAAAAAAAATCAATTGACATACAAAGGAATGCCAATTAAGCTCACAGGAGATCTCTCACAGGAAACTCTACAGGCAAGAAGAGAATGGAGTGACACATTCCAGATTCTAAAAGAAAAAATTGTCGGCCTAGGATAACATACCCAGCAAAGCTTTCTTTCATCTTTGAAAATGAAATAAAATTCTTCCAGAGTAAAGAAAAGCTAAAAGAATTTGCTTCTTCCAAACCTGCCCTACAAATGATACTTCAAGATGTTCTCTTGACAGAGAAGAGGAATAGCACCTACCAAAACCAAAGGCAAATGGCAAGAACATCCCAGTAAAATGACAACAGAAGACTAAATCAATGAACAACCCATTCCTAAAATTACAGGACCAAAGTACCACCTATGTATATTTAATTCTGAATGTAAATGGCTTAAACTCAATCACATGTCATAGATTAGTAGACTGGATTATGACAGAAAACTCATCTGTTTATTGTCTGGAGGAGACAACTCCAACAAAGAGCAGCGGAAACTCTATCACATGGATTTTGTTGTTTTCTGTTAGTTTCATCTCTTCAAAACACTTTCTTCTGATTAAATCATTCAATGACTCGTAGATCATGCAGTGGCATCATTTTCTTCAAGAAGGTTCTTGATTTTCACTTCTTCAGCTACACATTAGACATTTAATAACATGTTGTTTAACTTCTTGGTGTTGTTAATTTCTTTTTTCTCTCGGATGTTGATTTTGTTTTGTGGCTCTTCATTTAAAGGAAGGTATAGTAGTTGTGTAATGGAGACTGTCATATCTAGTAACATGTCATTTAACTTCATGGCATTGTAAATTTCTATTTTTATTTCTATTGTTGATTTTGTATCATGACTTTTCACTTAAGGGAATGTACAGTAGTTATGAGGATCTGAGATGTGAGGATGCAGTGTGGTATGCATTTCTGTTTCCAGACAAAGATGGACTTACAGTGAAACTGTTTATATTATATTTTTACAATAGGATTGTGGACTCTGCCATTGTCCATGCCCACAATGATGAACATATGACTGTGTATGAAGAACTATATGTTAGTAATGATATAAAGGAACTGGGGGGAGGGATTTGAGGAGGGGATAAGGGAATATGGAACTGTATCATAAAATGATAGCAATAATAATAAAATGTGGTGAAAAAATTTAAAAAAAAGAAAATATAGTTTGGGATTCTCTGCTTCTTTGGAAGCTTTCTCAAAACCTGTATGCTTTTTCTAAATGCCTAGAAGCATATCCAGTTGTCCAAAGATTAATCACATCCAGAATGCAAGGCAGCAAGCATCCTTCTAAGTTTACTTTGCTTTCTAAAACCACTGAAGTGTACACACACAAACACACACAGCATAACCAAAGCAAAAGCTCTGTAGAATACTTGGAAAGGGAAGCACATGTGACCTGTTTTCAGATCACACAATGATCAACATAGAAAAGTCAAGTGCCAGCTAGTTGCAAATGCTTTAACATATGTATACTGAAATGCTAACCCCTATACTGAAGGTACTGGAGGGTTTTTGGACATTAAAATAGGGATAAAGTGCCGCCTTTGAGGAAGCAAACTTCTGTAAGTCACCGAGTCAGCAGATGCCCGATCTTGGATTTCCCAGACTGCAGAACAGGCAGAAATAAATTTTCACTGTTTGTAAGTCACCAGAGGAAAGCACAGCCTGACAGTTAAGATGCACATTACGATGCCTTCAGCCCACATTAGAATGAATGAGTTCAATTCCCAGATCCACCCTTGATTTCAGCTTCCCCCTAAGGGAAAGCAGCCTTCACAGCTGGAGTAGTTGGATTTTGACCACTCACATGAGAGACCAGGATTAGATTTCTGGCTCCTGGATTTGCCCCTTAGCCTGAGAGGCATTTGTGGAGTGAATTAGTAGATGGGAGAATTCTTTCTCTCTCCATCTTTGTCTCGGACTCTCAAATAAATGAACTATTTTAAATTTTTTAAATCACCTAATTTATGGCACTCTGTTACAGCAGACCAAAGGAATGTCAATACAAGTAAAATACAATACTATTTAATATAAACATACACAAAATCAGTATTGTTCATCATTCAATAACCAATTAGAAAATGGAATAGAGGTATCACACATGATAGTGGCAAATAACCCAAAGTAACAGTAAATAAATAAAAAATGTGTAGGATTTAGGACATTTGACAGCAGCAGTTCAGACACTGCTTGGGACACCCACATGCCATATCAGAGTGCCTGGGTCTGAACAGTAGCTTTACCTCCCATGCTAGGTTCCTACTAATGTGTATGCTACAAA